GGTTGGAGAATTGATTTCTCCAAAAGTGGCTAAGGTGGGTGTAGAACCCAAGACCCCTTGGTTCACCAAAAAGTTTTGGACCACCAAGCCACTCAACCCATTCAATTATATAATGCATAAAATTATATATATAATAAACCTTGTTTTCAAATCACTTGATTATTACGTTACTTGTTAATCGCGTAGCTTTACTTGTTAATACCTTAACAGGACTTGTTAATTACTTAACTTTCCTTGTTAACCCCACAACTCCCACAAAAGAAATAAATTATTTGTTAATCGCATAACTATACTTGTTAATACTTTAACATGACTTGTTAATTACTTAACTCTCTTTGTTAAGTCCGTGACTCCCACAACAGAGCTACATTACATGTTAATTGCATAACTATTATTGTTAATACCGTAAAAGGACTTGTTAATTACTTGAATTTACTTGTCAAATCCATGACTTCTTTAATTGAACTGCATTACTTGTTAATCATGTAACTTTACTTATTAATTATGCAACAATACTTGTTAATTGCATAGTTTGACTTTTTAATACCACAACAAGACTTGTTTAACTGTTGTTTCAAAAAAGCAACCAAATTACTTGTTAGTTTCATAACTCTACTTGTTAATTTATCAACAATACTTGTTAATTTTATATTGTCACTTGTTAAATGAATATATAATTGATATAAAAAATTGAGTTTGTCAGATAATAAGAGTGATGACAGTTGGGTCTCTCTTATCAGTATTTATCAAACTAAAGGTTTGAACAATCTTATACAATTAAAGCCTGATATATTTTAACTTAGAGGTTTGAAAAATCTTGTACAATTAAAGCCTAATATATTTTAACTAGCATGCTTAATAATGATAAGTGAGACCCGATTGTCATTGCTTTCGTTATCTGATAAACTCAATTTTTTATGCAAATTATATATTTATTTAATAAGTGACAATAGAAAATTAACAAGTATTGTTGAGAAATTAATAAGTAAAGTTATGCAATTAACAAGTAATTTAGTTGCTTTTTCGTAACAACAGTTAAACAAGTCTTGTTGTGGTATGAACAAGTCAAGCTATGCAATTAACAAATTTTGTTGTGTAACTAATAAGTAAAGTTATATGATTAATAAGTAATGCAGTTCAGTTGAAGGAGTCATAGATTTGACAAGTAAATTCAAGTAATTAACAAGTCCTATTAAAGTATTAATAACGACAGTTACGCAATCAACAAGTAATGTAGCTTTGTTGTGGGAGTTACGGACTTAACAAGGAGAGTTAAGTAATTGTCAAGTCCTGTTAAGGTATTAACAAGTATAGTTATGCGATTAATAAATAATTTATTTCTGTTGCGGGAATCGTGGGGTTAACAAGTCTTGTTAAGGTATTAACAAGTCCTATTAAGGTGTTAACAAGTAAAGTTACACGATTAACAAGTAACATAATAATCAAGTGGTTTGGAAACAAGGTTTATTTTATATATATATATATATATATATATAATTTTATGTGTTATATAATTGAATGGGTTGAGTAGCTTGGTGGTCCAAAACCTTTTGGTGAACCAAGGGATCTTGGGTTCTATACCTACCTTGGCCACCTTTGAAAAAATTAATTCTCTATAATTCTCCAACCACTGCCTACGATGGTCCAGCCAACGGCCGGAGCTCTGGCAACGGTGGTCCAGCCGACTGCTAGAGTTCTAATGATGGAGGTTCAGTGGCTACCCCCGTCTCCAGCGATGGTGGCTGGCAATTTTTTTTTAATATTTGAATTAAAAGTATTTTGGTCTTTTCTACTTTTAACTTATTTTCAATTTAGTCCTATAGGACTGAACTGATATTTTGAAATTCTTTGGGACCAATCTGAAAATATGTTGCTTCCCTAATCCTTAAATGAAATTCTCCCTTAAAATTAATCCCAGTAGAAAATCAAGTGGACTTCTAGATCCAACTCACTTAATTTTTTTTTTCATGAAAAAAATGTTACTGATGATCAAAGATAAACAAAGCTTCTCGAGTCGCTTGCAACCCATGAAGTTGAAAGCCTCCCATTGACACGGTTGGTTGTATGTAATAGGTGACATGGTTGCACTATTTGATCCAAAACAACACAGCTTTCCTTGATGTCCACCTACATGTAACTTTTAAATTCGATTGTCCAATGTGCAGTAGATGAAACTTGGATAATCCCTTAACTGAGATTATAGTTAAAAAAGTTAATTAATTACAATTAGATTTTTTATGAAAATTTTTAAAAATGATTTGCAAATTAATGTCGACGTAAATAACTGCAAATTTAAGAGTATTAATTATAATTAAGGCAATTAAGTTTCAAATATAACCCTCAATACTTCCCCCAACTCATATGGTTTGGGTTAGTTCATATTCCTAATTTTAGATATTTTAATTTTATAACATATTTTTTAATTGTCTAACTCACTGTTATTTTTAAATTCGATTTTTTTGTGTACCAATCATTGTTGCCTCTAGAGAAAATTAATGTATAGGTCCTTCTAGTTTTTCTTAATTTTGAATTAGGTCCTTGTTAATTTTATTTTAATCAATCTTTTTATAATTTGATCAATTAAATATAGTAATACCTAAAGTTTATTAATGAATGATTAACTTTTCCAAAATAAAAATTCTTTTAAGATATATAGAAAATTTTATTTAATATTTTGGCCAAAAAGAAAAGATTTTTGATTTAAAACAATGTTTATATTTTTATTAATTTTTTATAAAAATTCTATATATATATATATATATATAATTTAGATAGCATAATCTAATTATATAAATTTTGAGTTATAGAAATTATGTATGTAATTTTAAATTTATATAATCTTTTAATAAAAATATAAAAGTTTTTAATTTTATTTAAAAAAATTTAAGGATTTTAACCTTATGGGAGATTAACATATTTAATTAGTCAAATTATAAGGGTTTGATTAAAATAAAATATGTTACATGGACTTAATTCTAAATTAGAAGAAAATATAACCACCATATAATAGTTATTTCACCAATTAAAGTTGGCATGAGTAATAAGGACTTTTATACTTAAACAAGTGGTTGGGAGTTCGAATCTCAACTCTTGTGTATATAGCAATTTAGTTAGAAAACATTTATCATTAGCCTTCCATATCTTGTGGGAGATAATATTTGTTATCGATGAAGTTTACTTTGTATGATAAAAAAAATATAATAGTTACTTTAAAATAACTGCTATATAATTTGTAGGGTTAAAAAAATTAATAAATAATTAGCCTATGTAGCAGTTACTTAAAATCACTGCTCTATAGTTGCAGGGACTATATAGCAATTGTTTATCAATAATTGTTAAATAGTCTTTAAGAAAAAAAAAAAAACTATATAATGGTATTTTTTTATTAACTGCGCAATATAGACCCATAAATTATGTCATAGTTATTTAAAATAATCACTGTATAGTCTCACCTCGTTTACATAATAGTTTTTGAAATGGCTGTGGTATAGAAGGTGTTATATGTATTATATTTTCTAGTAGCAAATGGAGTAAATTTATCAATTTATTCTTCCCTCCAGTTACACTAGCGAAAACCTCCCTCCTTTCTGAGTGAGACATCCTTTAGGCTCACAGTTTTATCCAATGAGTCTCCAATTTTCCCCTCTGTTACACTCATTTCGCCCAACCAAATAGCTAGCCTCAATTAATTAATCATCTAATTATAAATTAATTAATTTCAATTTTATTCTTTAACTCTGTCAATTTTTTAGGAAAAGTTAATCCTCACGTCCTTGTAGTTTTTTGATAACTTCTAATATTTTATTGAAGTTATTGGAGTTTTTAATGCAATTGGAAGTGATATAGTTGAAATTATTAACAAAAATATGACTAAGTGAATAATTTTGTGTGTGAATGGATATGGAAATGTGATTAAAAGTTATTGAACCAATCTCGCACTAAGTTTGTGTTTTATTCATATAAGAAGGCTTAATTTATGAGCCCAAAGCTTAAAGATTCAAAGCCCACAACAAATTAAATTTTGAACAAAGTTGTAGCATTGGGTAGGATGTTGTGACAATAGACCAACTTCTATCAAAACGCACAACTTTATTTAAAATCAAGTTTTAAGAGTTTTTGGGGAGATTTTTTGATTGAGTTTGCATTTCTTCTTCTACAGCACGTCCAAGGAGCACCCAAAGGTGGAGAAATATTTGGAGAAGCTTAGGAAACACTTGAGTGTTGTACTTTGTGACATAAATCACTCCGACTAAGCTTTTTTCTTTCATTTCTCTTCATTTTGATGTATAACTTGTTGAGTTTTTCTATTTTCATGATTATTTGTGGCTCAATCTTGTAATACCATAACTTTTCTAACAAAAAAAATAAACCAAATACCATGTTAATAAAAAGACTTAAATCAATGAAAATAATTACCATGATATAAACATTTAAAACCAATTCTCAAATATATCTTTAAAAGATAACCATCATAAAAAAAAATTAATCTAAATCCTAGAAAGCCACCATCACTATTAAAAAATAGCCTATATATAGCGGTTAGGTCAATTATATAGCAATTTTCAACGCTATATAATTTAGATCTATATAGTGGTTATTTTTAGAAAACCATTAAATACTTTTTACAAGAATTAAGTATAACAAATGTGTTTGCACACTATTTAGCGCTAAATAATTTTCCATATTCAGCAGTTATTTCAGGAAAAATGTTAAATAGTTTTCCTTTATTTTGGTGAAAAAGCTAGAGGATTTGTCAAAAACTATTTAATGATTATTTATAAATAATCGCTAAATAATAGCATATATTTAGGTGTTATCTAGTTGTTATTTATACATAACCACTACATAGTTCTCTGTTTTTTTTTTTCAATGGAGGGCTTGCAGTTTGAGTAGCCCCCTGCAAAACAACATACATAGACATCCAGAAACATACTAGCAACATAATTATCCAGTTTCAACAAAAATTCAAATGTAATTGAATCCATTATTTAAGCCTAGCTATAACTTTTACAATCTATTTAAAAGTACTTCAAACTTTTTAAAAAATGCCTAAACACTAAAGCAATTACAAGGAAAATTTTTCCACAAGTGTAACCTATTGCAACTTTAAAAGGCTAAAGTTATGAAAAACTTAATTTTGGCCAAAGAATGCTTATTTTGAAAAACTGTAAAGAACCTATACACTAAAACAAAATTGATGAGGATATAGTAAAATGTATTGTTGTGATCATATATTTTGCACCCATTGCTTGAGTAAACTCTTGGCAAATTCTTCAAAGATTTTATCAATTTGAGTTGAACTATATTCCTCTACATATAAATCTTGAAAGTCCTGCTAACATAACAAAAATCAAATTTAAATAAATTAAGTGATATGTATAATATAACATAAATTATTAATTAATTAAAGTTAAGAAAGTACAGATAGAAGACATACTTGGTTAGGCAAATTTTCATTAATTGGCACATGGTCAATAATGTCTTTCATGTACCTCATGATGCTATAAATGCAATCAACAACCTTGTCACATTACCTTCAACACTTTTCATCATCAAACCAAAAAAAAAAAGTTATAATATAATAAAATTAATTTGATGAAATAAATATTGAGGGTAAATATATACCTTAATTATCCTTCAATCAAATGTGACTTCATATGTATTAGAGTTTCCAATTAAAAGCAGCTCTTTATGGCTTCTGAACAAGTGGACAGCTCTACACACATGACAATATGAAACTTTATATAAAAATCACATGAAAATAATAATTTACACATATGCAAAAAAATATTTAACTCAATTATTGAACATTAACATGATATGTTTTTGGTTGTCTAGATGGCTTCCAATAGGATTAAGATACCACATCATGCCTCTATATGGATTGAGCATGAGTAGCATCCAATAAACCTTGTCACAATGAGCGTGTGCACACAAAAACATACACACATATATTAGTACGTATTAAAAACACTTAATAAAAAAATTTAAATATGATTAATACTAAAAATAATTCACTCATTACAAAATGGTGCCAAAAAAATTTGATTCTCCCTGGTCGCATGCTGGGCTAGGTAATCAATAATATCATTTATTTTCTCTTTTTCGCTGTAATGTCTACCTTGACATTACCAAAATACCACACCACAACATTGTCATGACAACCAAGATAAGTAAATTCTTTCTATAAGGTTATCACAACACAAAGGTTTAAAAAATTAGTTTAAATAATGGGATCCCAAGAACACCTTTTTTGAAAAGATGTTTAAGCTCAAATTATAGTTTAAAATCAATTAAATAAAGTAGCAGAAGCATAAAAGCCAAATAACATCACAAATAAATATTAAAAAGTCCCATTAGCCAAACCAGAAAGGAGCTTAGCTCTGCACTAGCAGATTTCACAATAATAATAAGACTAGGACCTAACTATGGTATACGTGAAGCGCTAAATTAATATTTCATAATACAAAATACACTTACATAAAAAATAACTAACGCATGCTTCCATGTTTTCAAAAAAAATCAATGGTGTCCCTCAATAATCAGCATGGAGTGTAGGGTTAATTTTAATATTTGAGACTGAGTAGTGTCCCAATTTACAGTTGAAGGAAATAATGGAAAGCAAATCAATGAGACAATTATGAATTTACTAAATAATTAATTAAAAATAATATAAACCATGAATACACAAATATGAATAAAAATTATTAAAATCTCAAATTTCCTTTTTTTACACATACTTAAATATCTTGGGATATATATATCACTTAATATAAAATCCATATATAGTAAAAATAATAGTTTTCTTTCTGCAATCAAATTTTAAAAAAATAGTTTTGAAATTCCTTCTTTTGCGGGACTTAATCAAAATAATTAATAAATATGGATACACAATTCAAGAGGGTAAGTCACCGACAAGCATGGCTTAAAGACTTGAAACAATCAATCACGACCAGAAGCCACGAAACAAGTGTAGGTGCTAAGCCCATGAAACAAGCGTAAGTACGATGCTCACGAATATCCAACCCTTTGTTTGACGTGCGTTAACCTGCGCATGGGGTTAGCTCCTCCTACAAGCACCCTACTAGCTAAGTGTACCATAATGCGCCAAGGGCTAACAAAATTGTTGTTAGCATCCAACGTTCTAAAATTAGTCACCCTAATTAAATCAAGCATGCATAGAGTTGAAACATTCATTTAAAACCATGTTTTCAAAATATAATATTCAACTATCAAATTTTCTTTCTAAAATTCTTTTCCATGAATCACCGTGTTAACCACTCTCATATAAATTATAAAATTTAAACAACATAAATGCTTAGAATAAATAATAGATTAATAATGTACTGGATCTAAATATTCCTTAACAATAGCATAATTCTTAATGAAAATAAAACAGATTCTGTAATAATTGTATAAATCATAAAAATAAAATTAACAAGAATATTTATACAACTTATGAAGGAATAATATAAAAATTTAAATAAAAATTTTTTATAAACATTTTGCAAGAAATTATTTGAGATACCACCCACTCACTTGAGAGTTCTCAATTTTTTTTTATAACTCGATTCTCTCAAGTTCCCACTTATACTCCAATGCCCAGATAATCTAGATCATAAATCCACAATCCTTATGTCATTATAATTTCTCTTTAGGTGATACATGACTCTAATAAGTAGTTCAACCTTACGACTCATATAAGTAAAGACATATACTTCTTTAAGTAATATTTACAATTCCTTTAAGTCCTGATATGAAAATTAAATAGTTTTACTTTCACCAAATTTAATGTTCAAATACCTTAAAAACACGATACTAAATAAATTATAAGTAGCTACATATTTTTCAAGAAGATAACAATTTAATTTTCCTAACAATATTAAAGATAATATTATAATCAATTATATTGCAAGTACTCTTGAGTCCATTATATTATTTGACAAATTTCAATCCATCCTTATACAACTTATAACCCATCCTCAATCATTAACCATGATAGGCCACAATAATTCTTTTTATCCTTTCTTTAAACTTAATAAAGTACTATCATAATAATTCTATTTAATCATTTCTCCTATGTTGGTAGCTTAAGATTTCAATTGATAGCTCAAGCTAATATTTACACATATACCTCTAAGATATACAAAATGAAAATTTAACAACATTCCTTCACTGAATCTTTCGTTCAAGCATTTTTACAAACATGTAAAGAGCATTGACCATTAACCCAACAATGAACTAGCCTCCAAACATCTCAAACATAAAATTTTACAATCAAATTTTATCTTGGCATCCATCAATTATATATAGCATCAATTACACAGCCACCCAATTCAACGTTTTTCTCCCAAAAATCACGACAGAACAGGCATGAGAGGAACAGAGAACTTTGGCCAGCGAAAGGAAAAGGAACAAAACTTACATATATACACACGCACTTCTAGCAGCTGAAGGAAAGATGAAAGCTGAAAGCACACACGCACCTCCACCTTCGGCCACAAAACAGAGAAGAGGCAAAGAACAGCGAACACGAGAGAGAAAATACAACAACCCAACACTTCAGCTACAAAATAGTGACAACAAAGAGAAGAAATCGAAGGGGAAGAGAGGAAATCAATGAAAAGAACAAGAGGAGTAGCTGACGGTGAGGACCTGACGAAACTTGACGGAAAAGTGAAGAGAAAAAGGCAAAAATGGGATAGCCGAATGCTCTGTTTCTGCGCACAAGAGAGATAAAAATCTAGAGAAAAGAAAAACTATAAGAAAGGATACAATTTTTTTTTATAATTTAAAATAAAATTAAATTAAAATTTTACTTAATAGAATTCAAACTTTAAACTTTTAAAAAATTTATTAATATAAGTTTTACTTAAATTATTACTTTCCACTTGCTAAAAATAAAATATCAATTGGGATTTTTTTTTATTTAAAATTTAAATCTTCACATCAACTCTTGTGTGTGTGGACAAAAAAAAAAAAAAAACTCGAGTGTGTTTCTTTCCCTTCACACAGCAAGCCCTATATATATAGTGCATGTGAGTAACTAAGTTAAACTAAGAAACTATATCACAGTAAATCAAATTCATTAAATATAAGAGATTGAATATGATAAGATAAAGGAAAAATAACAATAAAATCTCTCTAAATTATATAAATAATAATCTAGTTTTTTAAAATGCCATAATTTCACTAAAATCTCTAGAGATCTCTATGTCAATAAATTTTAAATTGAAAAGACTATTTTATTCTTGTTAACAAATTGTAATTTATTGTTCAATTCTTGTGATTTTTTAAATGAAAGTTGTTATTCTTTAAACAAAATTTGTAATTAGGACTTGTTATTTTGAGAACTTATTTTTCAATAACAAAAAATACACTTGATAAGTTGTAATTTTTTATTCAACTTTGATGATTTACAAAATAAAAGTTATTATTTTTTAAGCAAAAGTTATGATTGGAGCTTGTTTTTCAATAATAAAAATTACATTTGATAAGTTATGATTTTTTATTCAACTATTGTGATTCATAGACCAAAAGTTGTTATTCCTTAACTAAAGATTATAATTGGGGTTTGTTATTTTCAATAAAGATAAAGTAGTCATTTCCCTTTAAAATTTATTGATATTGAAGTCTTTAAGGATTTAAGTGAAATTATGGCATTTCCGGATTATTATTTAGATAATTCGGGAGGATTTTATTGTCCTTTTCCCGAAGATAAATCTCATTAAACATAATATCTTAATTAGTAAGATATATTAGATTCAATCAAGATTAAGTATTTATTCAATTCTTGATTTGATTAAAAATAATTTAATTAGATATATTAATTTATTATAGTATTCGGATCCCAATCAAGGGCGGATATTAATCCAATAGTTTATGCTGAACGAATTTTTTTTTATTACAGATTAAATTGTTTTTATTCAGTTTATTTTTATGTCACTCGCTTCAAGATGATATGGGAAAGGAAATATGTTGAGATGATTACGGGTGCTGAATAACTGAATTTCTAGCCAACCCAAAGCTTAACAGTACACCGAAACATAACAATGTTCAAGTGTAACTCCTAGTAGCTATGTAGCATTTCACCTATACCACTTAACAGAACAACCATTTTGGCCAGCTTGCAATTGATTCTAGAGTGTTATTGTGCTGCCGAAACATCTAGTTTGTCTAAAGCTTTTAAGCTTTGCACTTCATTTGATTTTGAAACTTGAGTTAGATTTGGGAAACAGGCTAATCATAATTAGACATGAACACTTGATCTTTGTCAAGGTTTGATCACCGTCATCTTCAAATATGCAACATACATACATTTTATTTATAGTTTGTACACTTATTTCCACACCCATTGCGAGAATCTCGGCAAGGATTTTTTCCTTGCAAGTACCATGTTGAATATATGTCATGAATAAGTTATCATGATAGATGAAGAAATGTTATTGCATTTCTCAACGAACTCATTGACAAATTTAAATTTGTCGTTTTTCCTATTGAGGGACACTCTTTCCAAAGAACTGACTTCTTGTACAAAGTCAAGGATTAATATGTTAATGAGAAAATTAAAAAAAAAAAGAAGAAGAGGAAGAGCGGAGGCTAAGATGACAGAAGCACCATGTGTAGAACTTATAAGAGTTAACCTAGTTAAAAAAAAAAAATTGATTAGGGTATCTATAAAGTCCCCTATTAGCCTGAACTTTACCAATCCATACACACATTAAAATATAATATCAAAGATATAGTCCTTAATTTGTTTTTAAAATGCAGGATCCCGATTTTGGGCTTAAGTGTTCAATTCTGATCCTTTATCCCATTAAACCACTTTAAGCTTTGAACAAGTCTAAAAGAACTATATACACTTAATTGACACGTCATATCACATAGAACACATAATGGTTACAATTTGACCTCTCAATGCCACATTATACACTTGTGGACTTATATGAAGCACAAACATATAACCACATACACTTGTTTCACTTTCAACCATCCGACTTACATGTATAGGGCTAAACCTTACCATATAGTCAGGAGTTATAATTCACTTGCTTTACACACAAATGAGGCTAAACCTCGCCATTTAGTCAAGTTACTCATATATATATATATATATATATACATTTTCATATCACAATTCACATACATTTCAATGGAACAAGCTATACAACATAATATAAGCTTGCTTGAATATTATCTAGACTTATCCACATATTCACTACTGTGATACACTTAGCAAGATGCGTTACCAAATATACAAGCAAGTTCTCAATAACATAATCACATATTCATATTCACATATGCTTATACATCCTAGTTGGCAACTCAATCATTTATCAACACTATTATACATTCATTACACTTGGGTAGTCATACCACTACCGAAAAGAAGCTAATCCTTTTTTGCTTCCTTTCCCAACCTTCTTGTGCTCTCTTTCAACTGTATACAAAGGTAATAAAGTGAGACATATGTCCCAGTAGCTTGGATAAATTCTAAATATCGATTAGTAAATAAAATCATAAACAAGAGATAAAGTAGCATGAATTTCAATAAAGAGCAGTATACATAGATATATACACAATGACTTGCTCATTCATCTACTATACTCATGTACTCTTGGTTCCCCCTAATAGAGCAAGCTCAACGCTCAAACCGAAACTTCCAGCCTTACATGAAACAGGGCCAACCAAACCTCTATCTCAGACCAAGTATCATAAGTATAGGTGGTCTCTTGAGTCCCCACTAATGGAGCATACTCAATGCTTGGACTATAAGGACTTCTTAACCTTACATAGAATAGGGCCATAACCTCTATTGTAGTCTAGAGTACATTTGTAGATATTCTCCTAGGTCCTTCCAGGCAAAGCAAGCTCTACACTCAAGACTTTCAGGACTTCCTAACCTTACACAGAGTAGGGCCACGACCCCCTACCCTAGTCTAGGGTATACTTGCCGATGCAAATGCTCATGGTCCCTTGCATACATAGCAGGCATCACTCACCTATACCCACATACACAATTCTTTTACAATATTACTACTTTATCAGTTCATAAAACAAAATGCATATGATTATATAAAATGCTTGTAAATAATTTCACAAACCAATAGATAAAAAGGTTACTCTAGTTATATTTTATCCTTATTACCAAGGGTTACCATTTACATTGAACTTCTTAAGTCAGTTCAACTCCTATGAGCAATCCTCAAATGCTCAATCTACATAATGAACACTCCTTGCTCAATTTTCAACACTCAACACAGGCACCAAATGACTTAAGACATTTTGAGCCAAATTCCTCAACACATAAAATAATTCAACTTAGGCCTTTTGAGTTCATATAATCCATCTTCCATATAGTCATTTGCCCTTAGGCCACTCAAATGACCCAAGACATTCTTCTTTCTCATTTGTTTATCAAATTTCCCCCACTTTCAACCTAATAACTTAGGTGACTTTAAGCTCATATCCTTAAGGTTCAACCGTTAAACTCTAAACTAGTTGCAAAACCTTAGTTTTGCTCCTGAAACCCCTTTTTAACCCTTTTCCTTAGATTTTAACTCCTTAAAACTTCTTGATTCAATTTCTACCAATTAAATTTAAAGAAATTAGAGTAGAAATGTAGCACAAGCTATACAAAACTTACTCGACAAGTCATTAGTTGAAGCAAACTTCCAAACCTTAGAAAATTGAAGCCCTAGCAGAGAAACCTTCTTTCAATCCAAAAATCACTGGCTAAGCATGTTAGCTTTAAGCAAAATCTATGCCATGCACCGTGGTGCATGCAACACATGTCACACTAAAATAATTCTTATTGCTGCTCACACGTTTTACTCTAGCTTTCCATTCAACCGTTCAATCCTATTAACACACCAACCATATAACACAAAATATTAATCCATTATCCAAAATCATAATCAATCCACTAATTACTAATTTACCCTTAATTAACAACTAATTTTCGTGGATTGAAATTCATGATGTTACAACATCTGGTATAAAGGTAAAACACTTGACCAATGGTGAATAGAAACCACTTTTTAACACTATACTTTTACAAAATAATCCTACAAGAGCGCTTATTTTTGGGCTATGGGCGCTCCCATAACTAGCTCTGCCGTATATACGAGAGCGCTTTATAAAGCACTCCTGTAAGGGTGGCCAATAGGAGCACTTTTTATAAAAGCACTCCCCAATGGATCAACCTACAAGAGTGCTTTTTATAAAAGCACTCCCATATATACAAACCTATGGGCATACGAGAGGGCTTTTTATTTGAGGGCTCCTAGACATATGGGAGCCCTCAAACAAAAAGCACTCTTGCATAGCAGTTTACAAAAGTGCTCTATTTTTAAGTGCTCCTATATGTTGTTTTTATTTTTTTATTATTTAAATTTTTTAAAACTTTCTCCAGTATCTTTACAAATAACTTATTCCAATATCAAAAAAAATCCAAAAAAAATATTATTAAATATAAAACATTGTATATACAATAAAAGAACTTGAAAATAAAATAACTACCTTAATTTCCTAACTAACCTAATCTCTAACTAGTCTAACAAATAAAATTATTAGTATTTTTTAACATTAAAAGCTAGCTACCTATTACAAACAACCAATTATATATTTTGCTCACTTCTCAATTACATTTTCTATTTGTTCCATGTTAAAATGCAAGGATCTTGCTCCCGCAAAATACTAAAATATGAAAATGAAAGCAACATATAAGTAATTAACATTATATTAATTTAATTTTAAAACACTTGGCTTACATTCTCAAGAATAATTAACTCTTGTTGTGTGATTACTTTTCTCATAAACTTCATCACATAGTATCCACACTCCTAAACCTTATATCTATCTTGGTACCTATAAAACAATAAAAGATGTTGTCATTATCTAAATATAATATAAACAAATTTTAACTTAATTACTAAAACTTTAGGGAAGAAATTTTATATATATATATATATATATAATTTTGATTTTGTCATGCCCCAAAAAAATTAAGCATGACCAGCACGGGATATATGCATAAACACACATCCTTTAAGTCTCAATCAAGAAAATTCTAATTTAATATCTTAATTCATTTGAAATAGGATTAAAAATCATAATAACATTTTCCATACAAATAAAAGATTCCTAACTTTTTGTAGAGATTTCGGCAAAACTTCCTCTATAAATAGGACCACCTGAATCTCTACAACAACCATTTATAGATGAATTAATAATACAGAGCTTTTCTCCTTGACAACGGATAGCCAATATAAATTTACAAATCAGAATCACATCTATAGTTAATGTGAAGTACCTATGTCAATCTCAAAATGAAGCACATAATTGAATATATACAGCAAAAGAAAAGGCGTTCTCAAAATAAATATCCACCTAGCTCAGTGGCAACCCTTTCAATGATCGCTAGGAGGTTCAACGTTAGTTAATGAATCTGAGATCAAAACATTTTTCAATGAATAGCATCCCCAAAAATAGAATTTAAAAGAGTAAAAATAATAAACTCAAATAATTATGTAAAATAATTGAAAAGATGATAATTCAATATAATAAACTTAATAAACCTGTAAGTCTTAACCACAACTATAAAATCAGGGTGAACTGGAATTGCTTTATTCTATCATGCTTGAAGAACCAAATTATTCGCAGGTAAATCAAATTAATATACTTGCTAACTGAAATCATTGAAATTTCAAATACACTAATTAATTAAAACTTTAGAATTTTGAGGACTTAACAAAACAAATAACAAACGTGGACATACAATCCACGAGAATGAAATAACCAAATGCGGCTTATGCCATGAAAACAAATGTGGACACACAGTCCATGAGGGTAAGTAACCGAACGCAATTGAAGCCACGAAATAAATGTAGACACACAGTCCAAGAAAATAATACTAACCAAATGCAGTCGAAGTTGCGAAAGCAAACGCAAGAACAAACCCACATAACAAATGTGAGTGCAATGCTCACGAAAGTTGAACTAGTTAGTATAACCATGGCATGTCAAGGGCTAACAGAACTGTCATTAGCAGTAGTGTTATGCTGAAAGTCCTCTAAAATCACTTTTCAAACATGCGAGGAGAATAGTCATTTTGAAAAATAATTTGCATTTTCAATATCAAATTTACATGAATCATTTCAAACTTCAATTTAAAACTCATCAAAATAAAATTTCATAAATAACGTCTATTCTTGCATTTATTTGGTAACCAAAATTTTCAAAGTTAGTCAACATAATTCATCAGTCTAAAAATATAAAGGAAAATACATGTACATATCATATTTTAATTAGTCCTTGCCAAAACTATATATATATATATATATATTTTCACAAGATAAAATAATTTAATTAACAAATGCCCAATACTTAACATAATTAATAATAATAATAATAATAATAATTAAAAATTATCTACATAAAATGTAATATTTTAATAAAAGAGATTTTATTAGTTGGTTAATTGGGATGCTATTCACTTACCTAATAGATTTCTAAATAAACAACTTATTCCCAACTGGTCCTCTTGCCACAATACTTGGTCACTAAATCCTAATCACCAAGTAACACCATTTATTATTTTCTTTGATAGATTTTCACTATCCGAGATCTTCAAAATGAAATAACTCATAGAAATAGTACAAATTTTAACTTCAAGCCCTACCCAAACATTGCATCAAACATTTACATGAATAGCAATTTGGTACTTAAACTACCAATGAAAATATCCTTTCCAAAAATCTCTATTTCCATTTTTCAACTTTCCTTATAAAGAATAATTACCTTCCATAATAATTTAATTATCACATTTATTTCCTACCATATACTAAAATTATTCCAGTCAAACATTTTATCAAACATGTAGGCATCAAACTTCAAACAAATACCGAGGTTCTTCCTCCACAATTCCCTTTCCAAAATTTTTTTCAAAATCAATATTTAAACTAATCAAGCTTTTCAAAGTCTACCCTCTAGCAAATAAAAATTAGTTTTAACTTCAAAGGGAGGGGGAAAAAATCCTTATTCATCTCCATTGACCCAAGACAACTCTATTGAAGTTACTTTATGAAAATGTTTTCTTAAACCTTAAATTTCAGTTTGCTCAAATTCTCCTATATACAAAATCACAAACAGCAACAGAGCAAGGAAAGAAAAAAAAGAAAAAAAAATCACAGCCATGGCTACCCAAAAACACACTTGCAGAGATGGCAAGAAGGAGAACACGAAAATCCTCACCTCGCATCAGCGATGTCAGAAGAAAGAAGAAGATTTGAAACTCTCTTAAATCAGATCGACAACATCAATGTAAGGGAAGAAGATAGTGGTGATGTGAAGCAGCAAATGATGGAGCTGTGTGTTCAACACCTACAACAGTGAACGACAGCAACACAACGCAGGGGAAGCGGAGGTTCTGGCGCACACTCATGGCTGATTGAACGAAGGAGGAGAAAGGAAAGAAGGAAGATGCATTCAGTGGTGCTGGTTAGAGCTCAAGCATCGATCAGTGGTGAAGAGAGGAATGAAAAGCTTTAATTGGGGTCCATACAAAGGAAGAACACCTTCAGATAATTACAGAGCTCTCTGGAAATTTCTTCTCTCTTCTCACGCTATATCCATTGGCCAGAAGGAGAAAAGTCTAATGGGAAATAGACTAAACCAAATATCACGTTTAAACAAATGAAAGAAGAGGGGTGTTTTGGTAATATATTAATTATTGCAAAAGGAAAGAAAAGAAACACACGTGCATATATAATGTCCTTTTACTGTGATAGAAATTACAATGGCACTAGACTTAAAAGTTAATAACCAAAATAAATTTCATTAGTCCTCATGTTCTCTTTTTGTGAAAAAAAATAAACTAAATATTTAGCATGATAAGGAATTTAATTATTACACTCTTATCTTATATTTTCATATTATTAAGATAATTATTTTATTTAAATTTTTAGGTCATTACAGGTTTGTGGGCAAAAATCTAGCAGAATTTTCTTTATAACATGAATGTTTCAAAAAATTTTAAAAATTCTACATTAATCCAAAATAGCATATACATGGTGGTGGTTTTTTCTAATGAACAGGGGTCTTTTAATAATTACATCACAAAATTTAATTTCAATTGAATATCTTGGACTTATAGTGAGATTTTAGAATTCCTTTCATACAGGTGAGCAAGCAACTACATCTCCTCACTTTAGAGAAAATTATAAACTTTAGTGTATAAGTTTCAGTATTTTATATTTTTCAAAATTTAATATTTTTCGCCCTATGATTAAATTTTACCTTCAAAAATCATGTTCTCTAGCTCATTGGATCATCACATGAAGTAATTTTGTGATTTAAATTAAACTAACAAAGTTTGAACGATTTAGAGCTAGGATAGAATCTATAGTAATGTGAATATGAGTATAAGTTATTGAAATTTATAAACTGAAAACAAAAATATATTTTATTAAGTGTGATTTTTATGATTTAAATTTAAAATTGTACCATTGATTTTGACAAAAATGGAAGGTAATGGCTGTCATGTTCAAGTGAAATACGAGTAATTTTTGTGTTTTAAGCTTTTTATTATACTGTCGGTCAAAAAAGTTTTTTCCTTATATTATATTCCTACCATTTTTTTGGTCGGAGTCAACCACAAAGCACCAAATAATGGCCGTCACTTTTTGATCTACAATTTATTTTTTTGTCTTTTTTATCAATTCTCGGATTATCTACAGTGACAACCAAATCATGAAATTATCAACCTCAAATTCTGCATAATTTCAATATAAATAATTTCAATCCCAGCATATTTATGTATATTTATATATAAATTATTTCAAAATTTATATAATGATTTATTATAATATTAATTATAAAAAAATACCTTTAGTAGCCTTTTTCGGGTGGATGAATGGCAGACGAACTTTTCAAAGTAGAGGCAATGGCGACAGGTTCTTCAGGTTGACAAGCGACTCTGACGCAACTATAGCATCAATGAAGCTGCAATGCAGATATGCTATTTTGAGAAGCAGATCTGCTATTTAAAAATGCAAATCTACGATTTTGAAGTGTAGATTTGTGATTTTAAATGCAGTTAAATGGCAATGATGGAGCTTCAAATGGTGTATTGATAGAGAACCGTGGTGAAGGGTGCACAGAAAATGAATGGAGATGGAATGATGGCTTCTTTTGGGCGAATGGATGGCACAATAGTGAGAGAGTGTGACATCCTAATTTTCATGTCATAATCCAGAAATTTCAATCAAATAAAATTTATGCTTAGCTAATTTGATTGTATTTTATTATTCTTGGAACAAATATATCAACAGAGAGTGTTGGTCTAGTGGGAGATATATTGAGATCCCTTATATCAGGTCACAGGTCCTTTGCTGTTCTTCTCACTTTCGTCTGTCTTCGACACTCGCCGTTCGTGTTCATGCCGTGGGTGGGTGTGAAAGCTGAATCCTAGCATTGGGGTGCTACTCGTGAGTCCTTTGCTTCTTGATCTGGTTCTGTTGGCTTTTCTCTTCTTTTTGCTTCGTGTATCATGCCAAGATTTCTTACCTGTTCTGCTGTAGGTCTTGGATCTCTTTCCCTGTTTCTGTGAATATTGAGGATTAAGGTGAGAAGCCTTGAGCTATCCTTCTTGATGATTCTGTGCGTGAATGTTTGAATGAATGATTGAATTTGCCAAGTGTGTCTCTCTTTGCTGAATGTATGTGCGTGGATGAGAACAACTTGTTATATATATATATATATATGTATGTATGTATATAAATTGATTGATCACTTTTCTCTATTTCTATGGCTATGTGACCGTGTGGATGAGCTGGATTTATTGGAATATTGGTGTTGTAGAATTGTTGGAAGAAATTTGAAGAGAAGAATTGAGTATAAAAACTTGAAAATTCATGTATACAAGGTGTTTGACAAAATGCCCATTAGAAGAGCTTTGTTTGATTATACATTTCTTGTTGAAATTTTATTAATTATGGTGAGAAGAATGATTGATTTAAATGCTATTCAGCTGAGTTTAAGTTGAAGGTGGCAAAGGAATTTGACTATGAAAATATTCTTTGGAGATATGTGGTTGTTGAGAAATTGTTGGTTAAGATTATGGATATTTTTTTTTCTCTCTCCCTTTTATCTAATGTGAGTAATGTGAAGTTGGGAGATAATTTTCATTTAGTATTAAAGTTCATTTATGTTGAAGAAGAAGTCTGATTAATTTAAATGTATGTTGAAAAAAAATATTTATGCAAAATGATTGGGATAAGATTTGGATAAAAGAACCTAGGCTTATTAGTTAAGTAATTCGTGCTTGCAAAATGTTGATACAATGTTTGATAAAAGAGTTTGAGGTTTATTTGTGATATCTCTTTGGAATTTTGGATTGAAGTCTTGAATAATAAAGTTTATAAATGTATAACAATAGTGTTACTTGGGTAATAGGAATTTAAAGGCCAAATATCATCATTAGAAGACTAGTTAAAAGTAAGTTATACATTTGGAGACTCTACAGGTAAGTGAATGACATCCCAATTATTTTACTAATAATAGTTTTTACTGAAAGAATTCATCTTTGTCTTTATGAAGGTCATTTTTAATTATTATGACAATTTGATTATATTATTGATTAAATTATTTTATCATGTGAAATATAAGATTATTGCAACGAAATAAATGTGATGTGGCAGGTACATGTAAAATTTGTTTGTTTAGATTCTTATTTTCAAAAATTTATGAAATTATTTTGATTAGCTTTGGAAAATTTTGATTGTTTAATAAATATAATAATGAGCGTTATTTACGGGATTTTATTTTGACAAGTATTAAATTGATACTTACAATAATCCATGCGAGTTTGGTGTTGAAAGTGAAAATTTTATTTCAGTAATGATTGTTTTTCTCTCATGTTTGAGACATGATTTTAAGAGGATTATAAGCAAAATACTGTTACTAATGGCAGTTCTATTAGCCTGTAGCACTATGGTTAATGACTAGCTAGTTTAATTTTTGTTAGCTATGTTTGCACGTCTGTTATTCATGGGTCTTGCACTTGCGTCTGTTTCGTGGCTTCAATTGCATCTGGTTAATTACCCTTGTGGGACTGTGTGTCCACATTTGTTGGCATAAGCCACATTTGGTTATTTTACCCTTGTGGACTGTGTGTCCACATTTGTTACCTATTCTGTTAAATTCTTCAAAATTTTAAATTTTTTTTATTTGTGCATTTGAAATTTCAATGGGTTTCAATTAGTAAATTTACTACTTTGATTTACATATGGATAATTTGTTTTCTTCAAGGGTGATAAAATAAAGCAATTTCAGTTTCCTACATTTTATGGTTATGACTAAAATTTACAAATTTATTCAATTTATTATATTGAATTATCATCTTTTCAATTATTTTACATAATTATTTGAGTTTATTATTTTATGTTTTTAAATTATATTTTTGGAGATGCTATTCACTGGAAAATATTTTGGTCTTAGACTCACTAGCTGATGCTGGACCTCCTGCCGATCGTTAAGGGTCTTACAACTATACTTGGTAAATATTTATCATTGGGAACACCTTTTCTTTTGATGTAAAAATTAAGGTGTGTTTTATTTTGAGCTCATGTTTCAGGTGCTCCACGTTAACTATAGACAAGATTCTGATTTTATTTTTTTTGTTAACTGTCTACTGCTGGGGAAAATAGTTCTAGACTGTTGAATGCATATGATAATATTTTCTGTTGTAGAGATTTTGAGAGATCATACCTATAGGGGAGGTTTTGTCGAAATTTTTACAAAAAAAATTCTCAATTTGAGGTTCAAGGGATGTGTGATACGGTTCATACCTATGCCGGTCACCCTCTATTTTTGGGGTGTGACATTTCTAATCTTGTGATTAATTGTTAATTAAGGGTAAGTTGGTAATTAGTAAAAGATTAGAGATTTGGATGATTAGTTGTTGATTTGTATCCTTTGGATGTTGAACAAATATATAGGGGTGAAAGGATCACGTTTTGGGTTAAAGCAAGTGTGTGTGGTGAGGATTCTCCTCACTGTGCCATGAGCCGCGGCACATGCTACATGAGCTATGACACATGGACTAGAAAATGACCCCTTAAGTCGTGAAATTGAGGTGAATTTTAGAGAGAGAAATGAGAAACACATGAAAGGGAGAAGAGAAAGAGATGAGGTGTGATAAGGCAAGAAGCTTCAAAGCATTGGAAGGCACTTTTGATCAGTAACTTATCAAAAAAGCTACGTATAATCTTTATCTTCCATTCTACCCAAATTTCTTTAAATGTGAGTTATAGAAAAATTGAATCAAAAAAATTTAAGGGGTTTGATTCTTACCCAATGGTAATAAAAAAGTTCTTGAGAGTTAAATTAGAGTTTTGTGACTGGTTTAAAGTTGAACGATAGAGTGTTAAACTCGTAGGCTCAATTTGGCCCTAATTTCAATGAAAATTAGGGTAGAAATCTTGTTTAGCTAAAGTGGGATTATATGAGGTGATGTTAAGTGGTAATTGAGTGATAGAGAATATAAATGGATAAGTGGAAACGAATGAATGGTTAGTTATAGCCATAGTTAGTAATTATATGCTTTTGGTCAAAATAGACCAATTGACTAAATTGTGTAAATTGTGTGTAAATTGGCATATCACGTGTGTGAGTTGAGAAAGGAAGCTTGTGAAGAGTTGTAGTGGTAATTGAAATCCACAGGTAATCTTTCTAGTGACAAAAGGGTTGAGGTAACCGAATAACTTCCTTTGTTTAACTATTTATTGTAATTGTGTATGAGTATGTCATGCAATGCATGAAATCGTTTCAAATCAAGCATGTTTTGTAGCATGGTGTGTTTATTGCATGACAAGGGATTTTGGTTAAATAAGAAATGAAATTGTGTAATTTGATACAGAAATGTTTATATGGGTATATGTGAGAAAAGTGGTGATTGAGAACCTATGATTGGTTTAGAAAGCATGATCATAGGGGTGGGAGTTCACCCGTGTGGAGTGTGGTGATAAGATCATATGACATATTTTCCTTAGTGTTCGATGAGGTGCGATGTTGGAAAATTGTATCTCCTTAGTGCCTTTTGAGGTGCAGTATTGGAGATTATCTTCTTAGTACCTATCGAGGTGTGGTATTGGAGATTTGGACTCCTTAGTATTGATGTGATACAGTGTTGGAGTCAACGACACCCCATTATATGTATTGGGGGAAACCATAGTCCGAAAGCGAGATAAAACACCTTTAGCTGGGTGATTCTATTACTAAAGGTGAGCTCAAGACCAATGAGAGTATATATTGGTCTAAGGTGAGCCTATGGTTTTGAATCGGGGTAATTTGGAGGTTTAGTCAATAGCGATCATGCTATATGTGGAAAAGTGGTGATTAAAGTAGTGAAAAATGGTGAATACAGTTTAAAAGTGGAAAAATGTTATGTTTATGTGTTTTGATGTGAAACATGTGATACATACTATGTTTACTAGTATAATATGCTATACTTTCATATAGTTGCATGTGATAGTTGTTAGAAGTGAGTTATTCTGTTACTGATATTTTTATCTTACCCCGTGGTTACATTTTTATAGGATAGAGCAGTGATCAGGAAAGGGAAAAGAGTCAAGATCAGCTTAGAGTTGTTAAAGCTATGTGATTATAGCGTTTGTGTAATGAACCTAAATCTTGTGAATATTGTGTAAATAAGTTGTCATAAGGTTTCATACATGTTTTGAATGCTTAAAGTCTTGAATATTGTGAATTTTGTGTAAATCCTAGACCATATGTGTGAATATGTAGTGAAATGAGTAATTGGGGCTACGATTGAGTTGTGAATATGTTATGTGTGTAAAGTGGAGATTGGTAGTGAAAATGTGGTGAAAATGACCAAATTGGTGTATTTGGTGTAATGTTGTGAAAAGTAAAAATGGGCCATTGAATGGCCAAATTTTGATATGTGCGTATATATGAGAGATATTGTGGTTAATAAGGTGTAATAAGTCTTTTTAGACTTGGTTCAATACTTGAAATTGTCTAATAAGACAAATGGATCGATTTGAATGCTTGGGTGCGTGAAATTTTTATAAAAAGTGACTTTTTACACCTAGATATTTAAATTTTGATCGGACCATTATATCATATTCAAATCTATCTCATTAGGTAGCTTATGAGATAAGCTACATGTGGGCACTTGAATCACTCCAATCGAACGTCGTATGTGAAAATGGCGTACGTCGAAAGTTCGTCATTTATTAACAGTAGCAAAATCGAACATGTGCACTGCGGTGCATGACACAGAGGAGATCAGGACATGTGGTTTTGTGCCACATGCCGTAGCACATATGTTGTCTGTTACTGCACATGGCCCTTAATCTAACATCTTTTCTTTGTTTAAGATGCATGCAATGTTTGATGTGGATACATATGGGTTATTCCCATCGTGCATTATTCTGCTGTAATATGAGTTTGATGATTTTGCAAAATAAGTCTTAGACCCAAGCTTTTCAAATAAAATATTTGATTATTGTATGGTATTTGTAATGTGGTGATTTAGTAGTCTTCTCCTATATTATGAGGATATAGGGGAGAATTACAAAGAGAGGAAGAGAGATTATTAATAGAGAACTAAAATTTGATACGTGGATTTAGGGGGACTCTTGAAATTTATAAAAATAATAACTGGCCTATCGGTGCACTTCAGAAGGAGAAGAGTGCTCCTAAAAAATTTAAATATTATTTTAAAAATTTTTTATTTTACTCTTTAGGAGCGCTCTTTAAAAGCGCTTTGGAAGGGTTAGCCCTTCAGGAGCACTCTTTGAAAAAGTGCTCCTAAAAGATTTAAACATTATTTATTTATTTTTTTATTTTACGCTTTCAGAGCACTCTTTAAAAGAGCACTATAGAAGGATTAGCCTTTTAAGAATTTAAATATTTTTTTATTTTTTTATTTTACTCTTTCAAAACACTCTTTAAAAGAGTGCTCCAGAAGGGTTAGTCGAGCGCTCCTAAAAAATTTAAATATTTTTTTATTTTTTATTTTACTCTTTCGAAGCACTCTTTAAAAGAGTGCTTTGGAAGGGTTAGCCGCGCTCCTAAAATATTTAAATATTTTTTTAAAATTTTTTATTTTATTCTTTCGGAGTGCTTTTTAAAAGAGCGCTCCAAAAGAGCTAGCTCTTTAGAAGTGCTCTTTGGAATAGTGCTCTTAAAGAATTAAATATTTTTTTTATTTTTTTATTTTACTATTTCAGAGCACTCTTATAATGAGCACTCCGAAAGGCTTGACATACAGGAACGTTTTTTTAAGAAAGTATTTTAATATATTCCGCCTCACCTTTTGAGAGTGCTTTTTTGATTAAACGCTCTCAAAGACGTGTTATGAAACATGTATTTTGTAGTCATACTAGCACCATTGTAAGAATAGTCTTTATCATAAAGTAATCATCGACTCATTCTAATTTAAACATGACATCATCTCTATTGACCCTATTAGTTACACATTAAATAATTTAATACAGTAAGTGTCACATCATCATCTTTCTAAGAATAGTTAAATGTAAAACGTTGTATAAGGAAAAATTAGAGAAATTTGAAACATGGAAAAAAAAATATAAGGATAAAAAACATAATACAATAAAAATTATATGAACTAATAATTATACTTTTCTTTTTTCTTTTTATTCTTTTTCTTGGTCATGGTGGGATCCTATTATCTTAGACATGTGAGAATTGATGATCCATCGAAGCTGTCTTCATTGTCAGCACTGATTATAAATAAGTATATTAGTTAAACTCAATGCCACCTCGTATACCCACTGACCAACTGGAACATGATATTTCGGAATATTTTAATATAATATGAGCTGACAGTTACTTGATATTTATATTTCTCTTATTTAATTTATACTGTTTAAATTATTTTATTCCTCTTTTCATCCTCTTTCTTACAAATCATCTCCTCTGAACTCCATGAGGTTGATCGTGGAGAGCCAGAAGATGAAGAAGGCGAGGGTCAACCGAGTAAAAACGAAGCACATAACCATTAGGAGCAACGTGATTCCCATGGTGGTGTCGCAGGACATCCTTGGAGGGGAAGGTATTGGGTCTGCTTCAATTTTATTTCTTCCATCCCAAATTAAAAGATAACTTTAAAAATATTTTGTTGTTCCATAATATAAGATAATTTCAGAAAATTAAGATTTCATTAATTACACTTTTTTAATATTATCTTTTAAGTGGAAAGAGAATTAAAATATGGTATTTTATTTTTAAAAGTTTATAGTTTTGTTTTAAAAATTAAAAATAAATTTATAAAATATCATTATTGAGTTTTATTGATAAACGAAATTTTATCCCAAATTATCTTATAATTTGAGGTGGAGGGAGTATTGTATGATTGATTCCCATGCTGTACATCATCATTGCCGTTGTGATTCATGGGAATCTCTGATTGGATTTATTTTTGCATGATTGATTCCAAGTAGATCCTTGAAAGACCACGAAGTTGCATTATTGTGTGTGAAATTGGCAAAAATTGCAGAAACTGACGAAGATGATTGGGAATGAAGAAGGAATGCTGATCGATGGAGGCTATCGAGGCTATAAATCAGGAAGAGTATGAAAAAGAGATGATGAAAAATGATTAAAATAATTTAAATAAGAGAAATATAGATGTCAAGTAAATGTCAACACCGGGTAAAATGTTTTGAGATGTCATGCTCTGGTGGAGCAATGCACAAGACGAGATGCCGCTATGTGTCTAAGAATTTATACCAAGTTTGCGATTTTATTTCCCCAATTGGAGTTCAAAACTGGGGTTGTAAATACTCCTTTAGGTTTAAAAACTAAGCATTTCCCTCAAATTAATCCTTGTTTAAAATATAAGTAATTTAATACATGTAAAAAAATTCTCCATTTTATCCTTTATATTTATTAACCTAGATATTTGTATAAATATATCTTTCATTCATCATATAATACATTAGTAATTGAAATTAGGAGTTAAAAAAAACATATTTTTAAGGAAATGAGGGTTTTATTGATATGTATTTTTTTCCAAAGCTACTTATATTTTAGAGTAAATTGGTCCAACGGTTGTAAAAAATATATTAATAAAAAATTATGAAAGAAAATTTTAAAAATTCTGGAATGTGGCCCATTTATAATCAATTAAAGTGTGATTTTCCCTTTTCATCCCGAAAACAAATAAAAAAACTTGTGTAACATAGTAATAAAATTTTTGTAATTAAATGATTATAATTATGTCCCATTTACAACCATATATCTTTCAATATTTAAACATTTTTAAATACTTCACTACCAACTTAGTGGGCATAATATATTTTAAATTTGAGAATGAGAATAAGATTTTAGATTTGAGGAGTAGGAGATTTTTCTCATTTCAATTTAACTTAAATATTAATTCAGCCATATTGCAAAATATTTAAAATGCTAGGCTATTATTTTTATTTGATTCTATTAAATTAACTATATTTGAAAAGTCCCTATATTTTAAACGGGAGGGAGTGCTCTAGAAAGATTTCATAATTGAACGCTTCATTTCCAGTCATAATTAAATTATTGAATTGGAGCTATAAATTTATACTTTCAAGACATGTGTTATTATTCGTAAATTATATTCCATTTATTACAAAAAATTAATTAATTATTTTAATTTCCAATTTGCATAGAGTATTTAGCATTGACGCATAATCTCAAATTGTTCGTTCCTAAAAAATAAATCGCAAATCTTGTATAGTTTGTTTTTTTCTCTAGGATATATCCGCTCATATGGATAGAAAAGAAAAGTTCGAGGGTCAAACAACAATGCAAGCATAGAACGGACGACGCCGTTATGACAAGGAAAAGAACGAAAATAAAATTCATCACATAGCAATGACCTATATCAGTAGACTTCATCGAACTGTGGATGACCCAGTTCGGATCGACCCAGAAACTAAAGACCGACCTTCACTGCTTGAAGTAGTCAACTTGCTGCTTTTTGATTCATCACTGCTCGTGAACCCTACTTTACTTTCTTCCACATTTGTCGCTTTTCTCAGCAGAGCTCTTTCCTCGCTCTTTCCTTCAATCACGGCCACATCAAGCCCCACAAATTCCTCTGTCCCTTCTTGAAGCTGCAGCGCAAACTCTAGGCCCCACACAACGTCGTTCATCGAAGGCTGTTCGTTCCCATCTTCCACTAAACATTGGAGTGCCATGTCGCTGAATGCTTTTAAGCACTCTGGTGTGATACTTTCTATCAGGAAAGGGTCAACAGTTTGATGAATCACACCCTCGCGATGGCATTTTCGGACCCACTCCACTAAACTTGATTTTTGCTTCTCCACGTTACGTACCAAAGGAGGCCTCCCACATAATACTTCCAGCAATACAACTCCAAAAGAGTAAACGTCAGACTTCTCAGTCAACCTTTGACGCTTATAGTATTCTGGATCCAAGTAACCAACACTTCCTTTGACCACTGTGCTTATGTGAGACTTGGACATCCCCGTGGGTCCTATCTTGGATAATCCAAAATCTGAAACCTTAGCCACCCATTTCTCATCTATTAAGATATTCGTGGATTTCACATCTCGGTGGATGATATTGCGGTTTGCACCAGTATGAAGATAATGGAGGCCATGCGCGGCATTAAGGCACATCCCCAACCTTTGCTTCCAGGAAAGTGGAGGGTTGTCAGAACCGTAAAGATGATCGCGGAGGGTCCCATGAGCCATGAACTCGTAGACTAGGATCATCTCGTTACCGTCATTGCAGTAACCGATGAGAGACACTAAATGATTGTGACGTAGTTGAGAGAGCATTTCAATCTCCGTTTGAAACTCATGGAGCCCTTGTTGGGAACCTTTCTTGAGCCGTTTGATTGCAACAGGGACCGTACCGTCATCAATGTAGCCTTTATAGACATTACCAAACCCTCCAACGCCTACAATGAAAATATCATCAAAATTACTTGTGGCTGCTTTTATCTTATCTATTGAAAAGCGACGACACAAAACGGACGGCAATGATGAACCATGAGATTTGTTCTTTTTTGATGAGTCTACTGATTTCTTTCCCCACCAAGAACTTCTTTCGTTGGCTGAAGATGTTGTTCGTTGCCGAATGATAAACATAACAACAACGGATAGCACGACTAAGCCCAAGGCTACCCCAACAAAAATGGAAATTACCCTTGTTTTATTGGAGGACTTGGGTGACGGCAAGTTTGGTATTAAGGGAGAAGGACGCAGATCCGGATTGGGACCTCCAAGATTGCCACTGGCCGGGTCACTTATTTTCAGAATTTCAATACCGTTCAATAAGACATCTCTGTAAGCACTGCTTGCAGTCGGGTTTGGTTGCAACTTGATTGAAAGGTTCTGCTTCTTCAAGCTTCCTTGCCCGCTCATCGATATGGCGTAATCCCTATGGACAGGAACCCGAAGCTGCCTGTTACTCCATATCATCACATCGGCGGCAGGTTCCACCAAAATATCAGCTATGAAGATCTGAAAAACTCTCTCTGCAACATTTTGAATATGTTAGTCAAACTCACAAAAATGCAATCTCACCATATAAGTAAAATTGTAATCCACTTCATACTCCCAAGTCACGTTAAATTTGGACGTCTGGTTCATCCCATAGTTTCGAGCAGTCATGTATACTGCATCTGGTGCGGTATAATTTGGATAACCTTTATAGTCTGGCTTTAAACCAAAATCTGCTGATACACTATGTGGGCGCTCCTTCTCCACATAGTTGTTATCCATGTCCCAATATCTAAACATGCCAGTGTCATCGATGGAAGCGATCTGACTCCCGCCGACGTTGATTCTATACACAGTCTCAAAAGCACTGCTGTTTAAGACCGGAAACTGGGTGTTTCTTCCATCTAGCCTCATAGCCTCTAGGTCGTCAGGTTTGGTGTAATAAAGGAAGGTGGGCATAGAGACGACCTCGATCCCATTGACAAAAGCATAGGCGTTTGGGTTAGATTGGCTTGGTGTGAAGGTTATAATGAGCATCTGACCTGGGTCAACGTTGACGCCGTATTCTCGTACGATGGCTCCTTCTGGAGCAGCAACGTGAAGTGAAGCTCTAGCATCGGCGTTGGCTGAAGCATTGAAGTCCTTAAGAAGGGTATGGGGTCCTGCTTTGACGGAGAAGATTGCATCGAAGCGAAGGAAGTGGGGGTCGTAGGAAGATGGGTAAAAGTAGAGGCGAATATACTTTTGGCCGTCTGTCACCGTAAACGAGTAGGAGAATTCGGAGCGAGAGAGGCGTGCAGTGCCGTAGGGGATTGTTGGGATGACTTGTGCCTCGGCGGCTTTGACGGGCTGGGTGGCTTTGTTGGGATCTATGAGAGAGAATTGAGTGGAGACAATATCTGCGGTCCAATTCCGCTTATCTTTATCAAGAACGTCGACGGAACTACCACAGTTGACTGAGAAATGCTCAACAGGATTGTATGAAGTGACCGGGACGGTGAAAAGGAGTTGGAAGAAGAAGAATAAGAGGAAGGTCTGTGTCTCCCTCATAATTGTGACCTCCCCTCCACTCTGTCTCTCTTCTTTTCGTCCTGACGGGATATATTTAAGAAGTTAAATAAAGCTCGAAGAAACAGATCTGATTTCCGTTTCTTTTTGTACAAAGAAACGCTTTGAACAAACTTGATGAAATAGATGAGGTTTCCAGGAAAGAGAGCTTCATTACACAAGCTCAAGTGACAATTTACACCACCTTGACTTTTCCAACCATCTTACGTCACTCTCTCTCCACCATACTCACTTGCCTCGTCACTTCGTTCCACCAAACAATGTCAGAGAACTGGCCAAAAACGATAAGGAAAATTATTGAGAAGTCAAGCAAGGATCATTTTTTCCCCCCCAACAATTTCATGATATGTATAAATTACTTGAGAAAATTAGCTCAATAGCTTTAAAAAATACAACTTCCATAAATTATAGATAAAATTTTTAAATATTTTAGAATATGGCCCATTCATAAAATTAATTAGATGTGTTTTCTGTTTTTATCCTCAGAATAAATTTATTATTAAAACAAAATATATTTGATTTAATTAATTTTTAGCTGATTGGATTTGTCATTTTTATCATCAAAAATCATATTATGCGTGCTCCCTCTCTGATTTATCATCTCTGAATATTTTCTTCATCATATTTTTGGATCTGATTTTTCTTGATCATCATATTCATCTCTTATACAGTGCTTTTTTTCATCAAATTTTTTTATTTAATTTTTCTGGATCACCATCTTTATCACAGAGCTTTTTCTCTTTTTCTCTCTTTATTTTTCCCAGATATTACAAAGAGGATATTAGACATTAAAAAGGAAACTTCATTACTGATCTGTGATACTATATTATTGATATACTGTTGTATATCAATGATAAACAAATTGGTGAGTTAAAATCACTGATATGGCTTATATATTAGTGATATATAATTTTATATCACTGATATACTATCGTAGATCAACATAATCAGACAATCAGACATAAACTTATTTATAATTGATATGCAGTCGTATATTAATGATGTAGTATCGCAGATCAGTAACATGAAAAACACATAATCATTTTCTCAAAATAGATCAAACAAAATCTCAGGAAACCCTCACTTGAACTCTAACTTTTGTAACAGAGTTTAACCGAACTTTCTCACCCTGGATCTACAGCTTTAGTGTGGCTTTTGTGTAAAAGCTGCAGTTTCAGACTTCCTCACCTTGCATTCATGATTTTTCAACCTGAATTGTAGCTTTCAGTCTTCCTTGCCTTGCGTTCTT